GCAACATCAAACGTGGCTCCTGCACAGGGACCAAGAGGCCCGGGTCAGCCCCGCACTCCCCCGGGCCTCCGCCATGCCCGCAGCCGTGCGGACGGAGCCCCCAGCCCTCACCCCATCCCGCGCGTCGTCGGGTCCCTCATGTCCCTGCCCCAGCCCTTGCAGACTTTCCCCTTGCTGCTCTCAGGGCAGCTCAGGGTCAGTGTCCTCTGTGCCCCCTTTCACAGTCCTGCCACCGATTCTCTGTGCCGAACGAACCGACCGGCGGCTCCTCCCTGACCCTGAGCTCCGTGAGGCGTGCCCGCGGTGGGCCCCAGTCACTGCTGAACAAATGAACACGCTGGTTTCCCCGCTGTTAACACCTCTAGCCTCCGGAGGGGCCGGTGGCTGGGCCACACTGGATACCCAATCCCTTCCAGGAGCTGTCCCACGTTCCAGCCCCGCTCCAGCCTACCTCCCCAGTTCTCTATGCTGAAGAGCTTGCTCAGGTTGTGCGCAACATAGGGAGCAATCTTTTTGAGATCGTGGGTCCGCACACGGGTGGCCAGCAGTGACTGGTGGGCATCCCTGAAGGTCGTGTCCATCAGCAGCAGCCCCGGGTGGTTCCGCACAGCTCGGGCAAAGCCCTTGGGCCCCTCCCGCAGCAGGATGTCTCTGAAACCGGCCGGGGGTGGGCCTAGGGCAGACCTGGGCATTAGTACCCACCCTTCAGGCAGCAGAGTCTCCTCTTTGTCTCCCCGAGTTGGCAGCATGAATCCCACCTACCTATGGGCACCGCAGGGACAACAGGGTCCGTGGGGCTGGGGCTGGCCTTGACGGGGATTGGGGTGGTTGGGCCGTTCACCATGACATGACCTAGGGAGAGAGTGGGTAGCGGGATCAGGAAGGGCTAGGGACAGTCTGAGTTGAGGGCAGAAGTGACAGTGGATGGGCCTGGGGATGAGGGCTTCCTCCAGGATCCCCAGTCCTCTCCAAAGCCAGGGCCTCCTGGGTCCGGGCAGTGGGGATCTACTGAGGGCCGCATGGACAGAAAAGGGGACATCTCTAAGATCAGGAGCAAGGAAGGTGGGCAAGGTGGGAGGCTGAAGCAAAGGAGGAGGGTGTCGGAGCAAAACAAGAGCAAGGACAGTGGGTGCTAGGAAGCTCTTCTAGGCGGGGGCCCAGGAGCAAGGCATCTGGGAGGGGAGAGAAGGGCCGTCCCGGGGCCGGACCAAGGTAGTGCAGCAGCTTCTGAGCCCGGTTCTGCGCAGGCCGCAGCTGGAATAGGTCCGGGTTCTCGTCGATGAACTGGGTGTCCACGGTGCCTGCCAGGAACTGCTGGTTGTTGAGCACATTCTGCAGGAAGGGGATGTTGGTCTGCAGGACAGAGGTGGGTGGGAGGGTGTCACCATGTAGCATGGCTGGGGAAAGAGGAGGCTGAGGGTGCCACCCTGGGCCAGCACAGCTCCCCCGACGTTCCCCAGGATACTGGGCTGAGGTCTGAGGCCTCCCTGTGGGATGACATTTCCCCATCTCCTCACCAACCCCCTATTCTGGCAGAGTCCCCTAAGTTGTTCGGGGGCTGAGCCCACTTCCTCCCCTTTTGCTCACCCCAGAGCATGTGCCAAATCACCTCCTCCTTCCTCAGGGAATCTGGAAATTAAGTACCTCCCCTCCACACAGCCCAGAAAACGGGCCAGGCCCTTCCCATGGCACCGTGACATAAAGCAGCCATGCTTCTTGACAAATGTCGCTACCTTCGGCGACCCCCTTCCCTGCAACCCTCTGCCCCCAAGAACCACACTTCGGTATCCTCACTGAGCTCCAACCCGGTGGCTAACTCCCGCAGGCCCTCTCCCACCCTGCACTTGCTAACAGCTCCCACCTGGGCATTGTTACCCTGGGCTTCCAGGGCCTCCTGCTCTCCTCCTCCCCCTCCCCACTGGGGGCTCCTCTCACCCCTGCAGGATGGAGTTCTCAGAGCTGTCACTGGGCCTCTTCTCCTCACTCAGCACATTCCCCCTGGGTGGCCCCATCCTGGGCAGCCGGCTCCAGAGCCAAGACCCTAAAGTGGAAATGCCTCCTGGGCACCTCTCCTTGTGTGGCCCTCACACAAGCTCATCAAGTCCAAAGTCCGCTTCCCTCACCCAGTCCTCCTCTGCCTTCTGCTCGGGGCCTCACTGCCCACCCGGTTACCCAAACCTACGCTCCATCACCCCCAGTACCCACTCCTGTGTCACTGGTCAAGCCAGATGGTTCTACCATGGCCATCTCTAGACTCCACGACCCCTTGTCTCTAGGCCATGCCTTCTGCCAGGCTTCCAAGTCACGGCCCCCTCCAGCCACACCAGACTTCTTTGTGCTCTCATGCAGCCACACCTCTGCGCCGGCCTGGCAGGCGCTTCGTCGAAGTCTGAACTGGAAGGCCTTTGTCTGTACCTCCCACCCTCACGAGAGCTGGGCCCTCCCCCCTTTTCAGTAGGCTTCTGTGGGATCAGCTGTTGGAAAGCGCCTCCCTAGGCCTCAGCTTTTGCTTGTCTGCATTCTTCCTACGCCTGGGAGCCCTGGGAGCGTTCTGGGGTCAGGGGTGCTGTCTGACGTATCTGTGTCCACCTGCTTTGTGCACAAGGGTCATTTCTGCTCACTGAACTGCTGGGAGACAGCATGAAGCTGGAGTCGGCCAAGTCCCATCTAGAGGCCACAAGGGAGCCTGGAAGGCAGCATGGAACGATGTCCCATGACTGCCAGGCCCCGTGGGTGGAATTCGAGCGTGCATGTGCATGTGCCTGTGACCACATGGCTGTCACTTCAGATAAGGCATCCCGTGTCACCCACTCATGACCTCTGTTGGCAACTTCAGTAGGGACTCATGCTGCTGGGCCCTGCAGCCACTCTGAGAAATTCTACCTGTGCCCCTTCCCCCCACCCCGCGCTCCTATCACCTGGAAGTCCAGATGTGAAAGGTGCCTCCCCCACAGTCATTGCAGAGTGGGACCCAGCCAATGCTGCCTCATACCTCTCTGGTGTGACAGATCCACCTCTCTGTCCCTGAGACTAGTCCCTGCCCCTCCTAAAGGGACATTTCAACTGGACCAAGGCATGGCTTTTGAGAAGATAAAACCAATTTAAGCCGTCTAAAGAACCTAAAACCACACAGGGGTAAGAGGGATTCTCAGAGGCCTCCCCTGTTCCACCTTACATTTCCCATTTGTAGGCCCCTCCCCCTTTGTGATTTTGTGGGGAATCGGTCTTCCCTATGTATTGTGAGCCCGGTGGGGGTTAGGAACCAGGCCCATCTGGTTCTTGATGTACCCCAACCCTCAGCACAGAGCGGCTTGTGATGGATGCTAGTAGACTGGTTTGTTTAGAGTGAATGAAAACATTCTTGAAGGTGAAGAGAGGGACAGAGATATCCCATGCTTCTGAGCATCAGAGTTGACCTGGGCTAGAATCCAGTGCCTTCATTTTACAAATGCAACAGCTGAGGCCCTGGGAGTGGCAACAGTTAGGAATGACTTCCAGCTGCCAGGTGGCTGCGCCCCTCACAGGCTACATCTCTCCTCTCAGCCCTATGAGGCACGTGACTATGTGTAATTAATACCCCTTGGCCAAGATAAGTGTTTCAGCGGTGAAATAACTTGCCTAAGATCAACCTGCTGTACCAGGCAGAATCAGAATTCCGTTTCCCAGGGGTCCTGGCCCACCCAGCCCCTAGGAATCATGTCTGCAGGGAAGGGAAAGGGACGAGGGTGGGGGGTGTCCAGGTAGCCTGACAACTAGGAGACACCTGGAGGAAGTGGCGACTCCCCTTGTTTCCCGAAGAACCAGAGCGCGCTACCTGGTTCCGAGCACTCAGCGCTCACACCCAAGCCCCGGCACTCGGAGGGGGGAAGCCGGAAACACTTCCCCGCACCGCACCCCCGCCGGGAGCCCTTTCTCAGCCCAGACGAGCGCACCCTGCGCCGCTCTCCCAGGAAAACGGCCCGACAGCGGCAGAAGGTGCAGGGAGGGGCTGCCGGCGCGGCGAGGACCACTGACGCACAGCTTCAAACAGCGTGCCACCGCCGGCCTGCTGGGAAACGGCGCGGCGCAGGACCAATCGGGCCGGAGGCGGAGACCGGTTGGCTCCCGAGCGCGCCGGGCGGGGCAGGGAGCCCGGGAAGGGGAGGGAGGGGCGGGGCACGGCGCCAGCCCGGAGGCCGAGCCCTCTCCGCCCCACCCCGCAGCCGGCCTGCCGGGGGCTTCGCCCCAGCCCCTCACTCGCACCCCCACCCCAGGCCCCGTGCCTGTTGGGGACCCTCCACGTGACTCGGTGATGCAGAACGGTTATGACCTTCAGCGTGTGTCTGTGAGGGTCCCAACAACAGTGCGGGTTTGCGCCCGGCCCTGCCTGTGGATGCGGGGACGTGTGGGTGTGTGGGCATGTGTGGGTGTGCTGGGGAGGGTGCCAGCGACATGTGACAAAGGCTCCCGTCTCTGGGAGATGGTGAAGGGGCCCGCGAGCTGGCGCTTTGTCTGGCTGTCTGCAGAGTGACGGTTCGCGCAGCGGCGGCGGGCGCCCGTGCGGTGCAGGATGCCGGGGCGCCAGGGTGGCCGGGGGTGCGCGCGCCTGTGCCAGGGTGAGTGCGCTGCGGCAGCGCCGGGGGACTGCGCGGCGGGCCCGCGCCGGCCCGGGCCTCGGGCGTGACCGGGAGCCACCCGTGGGCGCTGCGGTGGCCGCGTGTCCCCGTGACCTCGGGAGCCAGCCGGCCCGGGTGGATCCCCGTGCGCCCCTCCCTGTCCGCCCTCCACGTGCGTGTCCGCGGAGCGCGTGCTCGCCGGCGCGCACCCGCCTGCCTGTCGCTGCCGCCGCCGCCGCGAGCCGCCGGGAAAAGGTGCCGGGAACCGAGTGAGCCGGGGCCGCGGGCCCGAGCGCCATGGGCAGGGGGGCGCGCGGCGGGCGGCCGGTCAGCTCCTGGCCTCGCCCCCGCGGGAGAGCCGCCTGGAGTCGGCGGGGGCTGGCCAGGCCCACGGGGAGGCCGGCCCGCGCCCCCTGAGCTACAGACACCAGGTGAGGGGGCCGCGGGGCACAGCAGCGGTGGCTGGCCAGGGAGGGGCGACGGGCCACGGGAGGGGCTTGGGGGGGGGCGGTGAGGGCGCCTTCCCTGGCGGGGGAGGGGATGGCGCGGAGGGAGGGGGCTGGCGGTTCCTGGAGATGCCAGAGAAAGGAAGTTCCGGGACCCTCCCTGCTCTAGTGCCCACCTCCGCTTCCTGCTTCATGCTGCACCTTGTCCCCAGAGCCAGGACCCCCCTACTGGCTTGGGAAATGTGACCTTTACTCTGGGGGGCCTGGCCCTGCAGGCCCCAGCCTTCCTTCAGCCCTGGGTGGGGGGCCCCTGGGGCCGCTGACCCTCCCCCCTCCC